AAATTAGACAGTTTTTGCATTTTAACAATAATGAAAAAATGTTTCCCGAAGACCATGTAAATCATGATAGGTTACACAAAATTAGACCATTAGTTGACTATCTAAATGCTAAATTTAGTAGCATTCCGTATCGTAGAGACTTAGCACTTGATGAACAGCTATGTGCTACCAAAACCAGAAATTATTTAAAGCAATACCTTCCGATGAAGCCTCATAAGTGGGGGTTTAAATTGTATGTGCTTAGTGACTACAAAGGATTTTCTTACAAATTTGAAATTTATACAGGGCAAGAAAATCAAGAAAGATTTCGATTACAAAATGAGGAAGATTTAGGCTCTAGTGCCAATGTAGTGATAAGGTTGACTCGTGAAGTTCCTACTAATGCAAATTATAGAGTTTATTTTGATAACTATTACACAAGCATTCCTCTAATGGCAGCCTTATATCAAAAAGGAATATTGAGTGTAGGTACTATAAGACGTAATAGAATTCCTAATTGTAGATTACCTGATGAAAAGTTTTTTAAAAAACAAATACATGGTACGGCATATGAATATATAACATCTTACAAAGGAGCTCCGTTAAGTAACGTAGTATGGAAAGATAATAAATTAGTAACTTTAATGTCAACATACTGTGGTGTTGAACCTAAATCATCAATTGAACGTTTTGATAAAAAATCTAAAAACAAAACGACAGTTGAATGTCCTTTTATAATAAACTCACCATAAATATTTCATAAATAAAAATCTGTTCTTATCAGCTTAACGCGGGTTCCAGGTATTCGATTATTTGTTGGTGCTCGGTGAGACTTCTCCCGGCCAACCTTATAAGTGCGCACTGAGATCCTATGGCCTTTGGGTCGAGGGCGATATATAACCTCCTCTTCTCTAAAACCTTTAGAACCTTTCATATTGCCCCCCGCGTATATACCGGTGTTGGGTTTGGTAATCTAGGTGAGAAGACTGGGCTAGCCTTTATATTTGTTGTACAAACATAGTGCTTACGACGCTTCGTAAGAATTCCTCTTCCATCAAAAAGTTCCTATTTATAATTATTATTACTGTTACCGTGGTGTGTGTGTTATTTCTATATTATTCGTTCGGAGAACAGAGTGTGCGTTCCACCGCTCGCGGCCGTCTTACCGGACCCTATCGAGTCAAGTGACGAAAAATTCCGTGGATCACGGTGAGCTTGCTCCCGCCGCAAAAGGCCCTGGTAGACCTCAATCAATCCGATAAATCACAACTTGTTCGTTTGTTCGTTTTTTTTCTTTACATATCATTATGTAACTATTATAATTTGGAAATTTTATGAATTTGGTTGACTCATGTGGGTCTGCTTACTAGTCGTTTTCATTTCCTGAGAGGTCTGGGAAGAGTTAGCTCCCAATTGATTTAATAATGATTTTGGTATTACTAACAGTGTTATCGTTTTATTTGATGTATTTTTATTTTTATAATTTGAACTCGTGGATTTATGAATATTAGAATTCATAATGATATAGGTAAGGTGATGATATAGATAGGAAAATTAATACTAATTGGCCTTTGTGAGTATAGTAATTTATACATTACCAGTAATTAGAAATCTCAGGACGTGCGCTGGGCACCTTGTTGTGCACTAATGACTTTGCTATCGAGAGCTGATAAAAGCGGGGCGGTTTAATAATATTATACGAGTGGTGACACGAACTAAAACGGTAGATTTAAATATTACATTTATATTTTTTTTTACCATTGATTAAGCTCAATCGATAAAACGTCAATGTGGTGTAATAATAAATAGCAATATTTCCCTATCCAATACGAAAACTTCGGTCTTAATTTAAATACCACCAAGTGCTGTATTATTTTATGATATTATATCAAAGTTTTTTTACCCGCGAGTTGTTGAACATATGTTTTTTTTTTTTAATTATTCTTAAGCCCGATAACTATGGCCCTGTGGTGGCCAGTGACTTAATATGCTGGGGATCCTGGCTAATTAAATTAAAACTATGTTCTGCAACATTTACACTGAATAATAAAAATTCTTTTATTTACCTGAGTAATGAGTCTAGATATGATATTAAAATTAAATTACAAAATATATACTTTCTGTGTATGTTTTAAATTTTTTTATAAATCAATTCAATTCTTCGATCTTTTTTTCCGGAAAATTTATCGATAACACTCTCCACAAATGTTGGATCCCTTGCCATATCGTTTAGAATGTTTTTTTTTCAGTTGCCATAGATGATAAACTTGATAGCTCATTAGTCATTGTGTTTCTAAGAAAATTTTTAACACGCTTTAGTTTACTCATAGAATGTTCATTCGAAGAAGTTGTAACCGGGATTGTTAATACCAACTGACAAAGTTTAGCAGTGGCGCCAAGACAGTATTAAAATAGTCGGGCAAACTTTCCAAAATAGGCAATACACCCACCACGTACCCAAAAGAAAATGCTCTGCCCCCCCATACCCCCCTTAATAATATTTCTCTATTTACAACAACACACATTTTTATATATTTATTTAAAAATTATTTAAATATATTATAAAAATTAATAATATAGGTACACATAACTTGAAACTGTTGTAATACCATAATAATGTAAGTTACTAATAATGAATAATAGAATTTCACAAATAAAATATTAGTAGTATTAGTTATTAATTAGGTATAACATAATAAAATAGATAATAAATAAAATAATTTTAAATTTTAAATAAATAATTTTTAATTATTTTAATGATAATCATCACAGTAAAAAGTAAAATATTCACTAAAAACAAATTAACAAAAAATAACTAGATTATTTTAGTATTTTAATTTTTTATTTAAAACTGTAGATTTTGTCGCAAAGTTGTCTATTATTGTTTCTGAATCTAACTCTATATCAGCTTCACAGATGATACGCATCAGATCTTCCAATCTATCTTCCCCCATTGTGCTTCTTAAACGAGTTTTTATTAATTTTAATTTGGAAAAAGATCTCTCTGGGGAACAGCTTGATACTGGAATAGTTACTCCAATTTTTATAAGCATAAATAAACTTGGGAAAATAGATTTTAGACCAGCTTTACAGAAATCTTGAAAAACACACATTAAACTTGATGAATTTTGCCACGTTTTTAATTGTTCAGATGTAGTATTGTCACTGTTTGAATCGTTAGAGCTCAAACTTGAATTGTCATAATTCAAATTAGAATGCAGACACAATGGCAATGTTTCATTAATAATTAAATCACAATTTATAAACTGTTCATACTCCCTACGGACATCTTCTAACTTTAATAATGTATTATACACCAAACAAACAGCCTTAAATGCATCTATAGGAATGCTTTTAGGGTTTTTTTTTTAATTCTTTCATACGTTTGGTTGATAATAAAGCAAAATCTTTCATTACTTCAATAGTTTTATCTGTAAATCTTTGACTACTTTGTGTTTTAATAATATCTAATGCTACAAAATAAGTATCTACCTTAAACTTTTGAATAGGATTTTGTTCAATTTCATCACTACATAATTCACCAGCCATTTTTCTAACTCTACGTTTTCTTGTTGTCTGCAATGGCTCAAATTCTTCATTCTCATATTTATTATCAAATTCTTTAGCTAATATCAAAATATTTTCAAATGTTTCTTCAGTTCTCAGTGCCACTATGGAATCTTTAGCACTATTAACTAAATACATCGCTGCTATAATATCTATGTCACGAGCTTGTAATGTACGGGTTAATGGTTCAAGTATTTCAAAAATTTTTTTAAAACTAAGAGCTGTCATTAAAAGCTTATAAGAAGTCAAGTAGCTAAGCAGTCCATAACAATCAGCACCAAGTTTGAAATCCGATCCTCCATCTCTATTTCTTACTTATATCGTTTGATAAACTGCATCGTAAACATCAAGTACGGTATTTAAGGCATATGCATGTGACATCCAACGAGTAGTGTTTACACGTTTCACAGATCTTATTGGTTGTTTTGGATAGAGTTCTAGTTGTTTTTCTCTAAAAAAAGGCTGATCGTGCTTTACTTCCAGTGATAAAAGTAAATATTTTTTCTAAATTTCCAAATAGATCCACTGCATTTGAAAAAGATCCTACTGCCTGACTAGCTATTAGGTTTAACCTATGAGCAGAACACCAAATAAATAGGGCTTGAGGATTTTGTTCAAGTATTTTAGATTGAAGCCTATTGTACTACCCACTCATGTTTGCAGCCCCATCATATGACTGACCCACTAAATTTGATTTCCAATCAAGATTATGATTATTAAAAACATTTTGAAATAACTCAGAAAGATGAACTCCGCTGGTGCATGGGGATTCTCTTAATGCTAATAATCTTTCCATAACTGTACCATTAGTTTCATTAACATACCTTATAATAAAAGAAACCTGTTCCTTACGGGATATATCAAAGGTAGAATCGAGTGAAACACTAAATATTCTTGATGAAATAATATCAGATTGAATGATTTGTGATATGTATTCTGATACAGATTCAATCAAAAGATTTTGGCGATCCCAAGAAATAAAAGATATATCTTTACGTCCTTTTAATTTGAGAGTTGAAACATGTGACGCAAGCGCTGGTGAATGTTGAGATAACAGAAGTACCAAGTCTTTAAAATTACCTTTGAGTTGATCAGTCCAGCGTTCTCTATGCCCTCTAAAAGGCAAACAATGGCGTCCCAAAAAGACTGTTATATCTATTAGTTGTTTCACAATTTCCCTATTAAGAGCTACACTTGATTTTCGGTTTACTTCCAAGGATGGAATTAAGGGTAAAACAGATTCCCTTAATTTCATTTTTAATGAAGCTTCAATATGCGCATTAGTTGTTTCATGGTTAACTATTGCAATGCCCATATTTTTCCAGTGAGAAAATCCATCTTTTACCCAAGCTTTAACGGTTTTTCTTCCTAATAAAATACAGTCTAAGCAAAATATCTTATTTAGCGATGGTGAATAAGTTAACCAGTTTCTTCTTGTTTTAGTTCCATCTGTATGAGTTCTGTAGTACCATCCTGCATGAAAATGCCGTCCATCTTTGTCTTTTAAAAATTCTTTATTTGGTAGAACATCACAAGTTGGCTGACATGGTCCCCATTCCATAATTATACTTATAATTTCTGGTGTAAAATGTTTAATTTTTATGAACAGAAAGGGATCATTTTTCCAAGTTGAGGCTGCTGATACTTCAAAAAAATCTTCAGACGTATTCTCCTACAACAAATTTATTTATATCTAATAATTATTATGTCTACTTAATAAATAACTACACAAAAAAAAATACTAAATTTTGAGTTTAATATCTTATAGTTAATATTTTCCTAAGCAAACCATCACAATTATTAAATAATTATGAATTCAATATACCTAAAACTTAAGTAAATGAGTACTACAAATTAAAAATTCTAGAATTCATTTTTATTTAAATTATTTAATAAAAAATTCATTAAATAACAAATAAAAACAGTGATTATCATTTTACCTATATGAAAAATATATAACTTAAACGAAAAAAATTATCCACCATTGATAATCACAGGGTTGGTGCGGTCGCGTGGATGGAATCAGCCATTTCAA